AAAGCAGGGTTGGGGGGGGGGGGGGGAAGGGTAAGTGTACTTTGATTTAAAGTCGACTTATCCTTTAAATTCACCTTCCCCATTGACTCCAATACATTGAGCTAAAATGGTAAAATTTCAATAAAATCTCCAGATTTTCATGAACAGTTTTGCTCATTCCTATTACAAAGTGACCAATTCTAATCCCATTATATCAACATCAGGCTGGTTTAATTCTGACCGATTCTCTGCGGTCCTGAAGTGTGGTGGTGTTCCAGAGGGAGAGACTCTCACACACTGAGATCAATATAAAACAATACCCCGTAAAACAAAAGATTTGCTATTAACACGCACTCCTAGTAAATATGGTAAAGTCATCTTGTTTACTACGTGTTTATTGCAGTGTACACATTGTATACTGAGATAGGAATTCTTCTAAATACATGTTGAAGAGTTATATATATATATATAAAAAGATACTTGCATAGAGGAAATGTGCAAATAAACAAATTTCACAGTTGTTTTAAACATTTCGTAATGTGAATTTGCTATTGTCACGAGGCAAGGCTGACTCTGTTTTGGAAGGTTAAAGAACTGAACCGGTCTGCACGCTATGCGTTGGGCGTTACACAAGACAGATGGGTGAGATATGCAGAAGGCAATCAGAAAATTAATATTATGACATTTGTTTTAGATCCGCAGAACTTTAAAAAAAAAATGGTATAAAAACAGGAGCACGAGAGCTGTAAGGAGCGAGTGTACATGGCGCTGTTTTTGTACATTTGATGTGTGATTGAGACCCAACAAATTCTCATCGACTTCAATGGAGTAGTGTGCATGGCATTTCATAGGCTTTGTGCATCGTTGGACGTGGTAAATTCACCCAACCTGCACAAGGTAAATTCACCCAACCTGCACAAGGTAAATTCACTCAACCTGCACAAGGTAAATTCACCCAACCTGCACAAGGTAAATTCACTCAACCTGCACAAGGTAAATTCACCCAACCTGCACAAGGTAAATTCACCCAACATGCACAAGGTAAATTCACTCAACCTGCACAAGGTAAATACTCCCAACCTGCACAAGGTAAATCCAACCGACCTGCACATGGTAAATTTACCCAACATGCACGAGGTAAATACTCCCAACCTGCACATGGTAAATTCACTCAACCTGCACGAGGTAAATACTCCCAACCTGCACATGGTAAATTCACTCAACCTGCACAAGGTAAATACTCCCAACCTGCACATGGTAAATTCACTCAACCTGCACAAGGTAAATACTCCCAACCTGCACATGGTAAATTCACTCAACCTGCACAAGGTAAATACTCCCAAACTGCACATGGTAAATTCACTCAACCTGCACGAAGTAAATACTCCCAACCTGCATGAGGTAAATGTACCCGACCTGCACATGGTAAATGTACCCAACCTGCATGAGGTAAATTCACCCAACCTGCACGAGGTAAATTCACCCAACCTGCACAAGGTAAGTTCTCCCAACCTGCACAAGGTAAGTTCTTCCAACCTGCACATGGTAAATTTACCCAACCTGCACAAGGTAAGTTCTCCCAACCTGCACATGGTAAATTTACCCAATCTGCATGAAATAAATTCACCCAACCTGCACAAGGTAAATTCACACAACCTACACAAGGTAAATTCATCCAACCTACAGATGGTAAATTCACGCAACCTGCATGACCTAAATTCACCCGACCTGCACATGGTAAATTCACTCAACCTGCACATGGTAAATTCACTCAACCTGCACGACGTAAATACTCCCAACCTGCACATGGTAAATTTACCCAACCTGCATGAGTTAAATTCCAACCTGCACAAGGTAAATTCACCCGACCTGCATGAGGTAAATACTCCCAACCTGAACATGGTAAATGTACCCAACCTGCATGCAGTAAATTCACCTGACCTGCAAAATGACAATGAAAATTCCACAAGCGATATACTTTAGTGACGGGACCTCTTTGTATGTAGTAGTTGGGTGATCCACGCCCGTTCCTTATAGCGTCCTCTATTCTCCCCTCTCAGTCTCAGTCTGGTGTTTGCCTTGTCAGCGAAGTGGACGAATTCTGGCAGAACGTAAACCTGCAAGCTGTAGCCTATTTGACACTATTTGATATTTGTCTTGACAGACAGGTGGCCATCTTAGATCAACACGTCTCTGGCAGGCCGGGATTAACTGTCCTGGCCTGATAAGCAATAATCTGCTTTTCATTGTTTCTTACATGGTTTTATTTATCTGCCTTATCAGCCCACGATAAGAAAATTCTAGAATGAATGCAATTATTGGCCTTTCCCATGAGACTTTCCACGACACACACCAAATAATGCAAACAGGAATGTATGTAAAATGTAAACAATACCCCGAGATGGATGAGATCTGGAAACTAAGAGAATATTAATTTTCCCTCAATTACTCCCCCCGGCATTAACAGGCACACTCAGGTAATCCATGTATGCATAGTAAATGCACAGGTTCACCATATGTGATGTACCAGGAGAGAACTGCCTTTTCAGTTCTTTCCAGGTTTTCTGGATCATAGTTGGGATCCTGGAGCCAGGAGATTTCTTAGAGCTCTGGGTGGGATGAAATCTCCATTCCTGGGTCCATGCTTTGGTAGTGACCAGCACCTGATCGTGCACCTGTGTACATCCCTCATGAAGAGTGTGCTGGGATGTGTTCAGGGCCCCACCTGTGAGTCAGGAGAGCTCCACCCTGGAGTCAGTGGAGGCCAGTGCAGCAGGGAGCTGCGGGGTTTGTGAACCATATTGAGAGGATTGGCATGTTATTGCCGTTGTCTGGAGGAACCAGACAGTGGCCCTAAAGATTGAGGCCGGAGCAGCAGTGCTGCAAGAGAGACAGATGTCGGTGAGCCTTATCTGTTATATGCTACAGCAAGCTATTTATGTTGGATTTCGTGTTATCTACCGTTTTGAAAGCAAATAAACTGCATCTTACTTGCACCTCCGGTCTACAGTGGAGTGTCCTTGTTACAATATATATATATATATATTTCACACCTGCCCGCGAGGATCATATAAAACACTGTAATAGTTGGAGCCACTACAGTGCTGGTGGCGATCTTTCAGGTCCCGTATGGCACTGTGCTAAGACATATCCCCTCTGCTCCGAAAACACAGGAGGTTGCTCACTCGGCACAGCGGCCATTCAGATAACGCTTCGTGATTATAGCAATGACAACAAGGCGTTCTCTGATTGGAGGAGACCAGTGACATCGCAATCTATCCCTCGTCCAATCAGAGAATGCCTTGTATCCTTTGATAAAAATACTAGGCGTTCTCTGAATGGCAAAGTGCCATACAGGATCCCCGTGGTTATGACAGATATGACATATGTACAAAGTACTTACATTGGGACAAGTTGGACCAATGTAAATATGCAAATAAATGCATACCGGGAGTTCACCATTAAACATTTAATTCTATATTTCCCATAACGTCTTCCAGGACAGCATCACGAGAT